TTATTCCCTGAAAATTTAAATACGATAGCGCAATACACACAGAAGTTATTAAAGTATGAAAAATTCAAAGTATTTGACTCATAGAAGAAGAAGCTGGATGTGTACGTGCTTTGAGTATGTATGTGTGTGTACATATAAGAAAGCACATTTACAGGGTATCTCCACACTCTTTAAATAGGTTTCACTAGCTTTCGTTTACCAGATAAGATCACATCCAAAAACCAAGTTGCATTAGACACTGTTCACATAAACACATTTACGGGCTGATTGGGACACAAATCGGAGGAGCATCATCATGCCACAAACATAATGACAGCACAAGGATTTGCAACGCACCTTCAATGCCTATATAGGGGCGTGGCGATACATTATCGAAGGATCGATGGACACTGAAGTCGCGCAGGCGCTCCTCGCTGCCCGCCAGCGACTTGAAGCCCAGCTCCAAGTGGGGCAGCTCTGCCTGTGCGCCCAGACCATGTTGCACGAGGAACTCAAAGGGCGGCGGCTGTGAGTTGCAGCGGGGCGTGGTCGGTGGTGTGGCCGCCAGCAAAGAGGACGAGGCGGACATGGACAGCTGCAGAGGTTCGGTGGCGGTGCTCACCAACAGCCCAATATTGTGGCCCTCCAGCTGGGATACATGCGTGTATTTGGCCTCCATGGGCGTGGGCGTGGGCGTGGTCGAGCCTTTCGGCTGCACTGCATTCAGGCCAAAGGGCGAGCTGCATCGCTGCGCTGTGTCAATCAGCGGCGCCGGATACCTGCGATACGGCAGCGGACTGGGCGAACGGCTGAGCTGCCAATCCTTGGACTCGGCGGGGGCAGCTGTTGCTGCTGGCGTGGTCACAATCTCGACAACGCTGCGCTGACGCTGCAGCTGCTCCTTGGGCTCGCGCTGCTGTGGCTGTGGCTGTTGCTGCTGCGTGTCCTCCCAGGAGATTTGGCGCGAGACATAGGGACTGCGAATTTCATAGGTGGATTTGTAATTGGCCAGCGGCTCGTTCTGCAGATTATCGAAGCGCCACTGATCGGCCTTGGTGAGCTTGCCCCAGCCGTGTGGCGAGTCGCGACACTCGCCACAAATGGCGCAGCAGCTGCCGCCCAGGATGTCCTCAGTTGCTGTCGGCTCGTGCGGGCAGCCTGGCGTGACCGTCTGCTCAGCTTCCGCCTCCGGCTGCTGCTCCTTTAACTTCTCCTCCGGTTGTACAGTTTCCTGCTGCTGCTGCTCCTTTAACTTCTTTTTTTCCTCCCCCAGCTCCTCTTTCTCTTTTATTGATTTCTGTGAAATTGATTCCTGCTGCACCTGGTGCTTAACAGTGCTTTCTTTTCCGCCCAGTTGATTTGTGGGGCTTTGTTTGTCTTGTTTGTCTGTGCCTAGCGGCAGCTCCTGGCGCTGCGCTGTGGCTGCTGCCTTGCCCGTCGACAGCTGCTCGTAGTTGGCAATTACATCCGACACATGTCTGTAGTCCAAGCTTAAGTCCCCCTCCTCCACAGCCACGTGTGAGGCTGTTGCTGCCGTATCCTGCTGTTGCTGCTGCTGCTCCTCTTCCTCCGCGATGACTACGTGCTGCGCCTTGGCCGCTGTTGGCGTCGTCTTGTGCTCTACGTGCAGCAGCGCGTGCTCATCGCTGTCCAGCGCAATGGCTATCTTGTGCAAATCCTCCAGTGCGCGCTCCACAATTGGCACGTTCTCTGCGGGCATGACGGGCTGCAGGTGCATCTCCGACATGACCTGCTCCTTGGGCAGCAGCTGTATCCCAGCTGCGCGGCAGTATATTTGTCGCAGTATCGCCTGCAGTGGACTTTCCACGGCCAGAATGGGCGATTGCCGCGAGGCAAACATATCCCAGAGCTCATTGTTGTTGTTGTGGTTGCCGCTGCTCAGTGGTTTTGCTGCTGCTGATGGTGGTGGCTCAGTGGGCGTGGGCGTGGGCTGCACTGTGCGCTGCAAGGCAGTCTTGGCATTCTCCATGTACGCATCAATCTGACGCAGATGCTCCGTGATGGACTGTTGGATGTGCGCGTACTTCGCCTCGAGCTGGGCAATCTCCACATGCGCCTCGTGCTGCTTGGCCAGGGCTGGCAGGGTCTCTGGATTGCTGTCATAGATGCCGCCCTGGCGACGCGCCTGCATATCCTTTGCCTCCTGCCGCGTCTTGGCACGCAGCTGCAGCAGCGGCGGCGGCGGCGGTGGCGGCAGCGGTGGTGGCGTCGGTATACAGCTCTGATGGCTGCCCTGTGGCTTCAATCTGGGCGCACTGTCCTGGCGCTGCAGCTTGATGCCTTTGGTGGCGCTCACATATGTGGCCGGGAGCGTGGTATCCTCTGTGTTGGTGGGCGGCGTCATGCTGGGCTGCTGCTGATCCTGGCGCAGATAGCTGCAGGCGTCGTCGTAGATTTGCTGCACACTACCCAGCAGCTGTCCAGGATGGGCCGAACGCGACGTCTCAGCGCTGACTGTGACTGGTATAATGCGACCGCCGCTCGACTGGGCATCGAATGCCGCCGTGGCCAGGGCCAGCGCCATCTGCTGCTGCTGCTTAAGTGCCAGGCTGTCAATTACCGTGGCGGCTTTTCTTGGCAAGCTCTTGGTCATCAGCTTGGCCGTGTCAGCGGCTGCTGCGGCTGCAGCTGTGGCTGCCCTTTCGCTGGGCGTCGCTGGCAGCGGCAACGTTTCCAAATCGATGTCAACAGCGGCCGCAGCGGCGCTGGCCTTGGGCTCCTCCTCGCTGTCGCCATCGTTGGCGGTGTCCGTGTCGTAGCTGATTTTCAGCTCGGTGGCCAGCTTGATGCTGCGACGCTGCACTTTCGGTGTCCCATTCCCGCTGCCACTCCCATTCCGTGGCTTGGGTGGGGGCAGCTCCGTGCCACCGCCCATGGCCACGGCCCGTTTGCGGGCTCGTCCGCGATCCAGGGAATACGATTGACGCTTCAGTCGTGGGCGGTAGTTGCTGCTGGCTTTCAGTGTGGGCGTCGTCGGGCGTTGGTGCATCAACTGTTCGTAGTACTCGCATTTGGGCGCCACCAGGCCAATGTCTGCGTCCGCAGCTTTGGTCTCTGGCGCCGAGAAGCCCTTGGCCTGTGGCGTCTGCCGGCAGCTGCTGCCCTTTGGCTCATCCTGCGGCTTGGCGTTAGGCGGCGGGGTGTTGCCTTGTTTTTGTTGCTTTGGGCTGGCGCTGCTCTCCAGCTGGATACGCTGCTGGCGCACCTCTCGCGGCGACGGCTCCACAATTCGCGTGGGACTGTTGAATTTCTCGCGCAGCACATCGATGCTGTGCGTCGGCGAGGGCGTGACGCTGTGGACTGTTGCTGTGCCCGCCGCCTCCTGCTCCCCGGGCGGCCAGCTGTGATCGCGCCTGAGCAGATGACGGCGCGTGGTGGACATGCGATTGATGCGCAGCACCGTGTCCCGATCAATGACAACGTCATGCTGATGGCTCAGATACTGTGTCTTGATCTGATCAAGCAGCTGCTGATGCAGCGCATGATGCGGCGGCTCCACCGGGGATTTGGGGTCCTCCGAATCCCGCTGCCGCGTGCGACTTTGCCTCGGACGCGCATAAAAGTCGCCTGCGATGGGTTCGCGGGTTTGGGTTTCGATTCAAATTCAAATAAATATAATTTGCACACCAACAAACATTTCACGGGCACGAGCACATTGTTTGTTTGTTTGTTGAATGTTGCACAAGGTTTCTCTATGTTGTTGTTCGTGTTTGGACAAACTGCACACTCATATACACACACATTTATATATATATATACATATACAAGCAAACAAATGGCACCTACCGCATTTGATTTGTTGCTCCTCCTCCTCGACAGCGCGCAGAACGGCCGAGTTGGCCAAGTTCAGGGGTTTTGTGATTTGATCGTCGATTTCAATCCTGAAATAAAATCAATTAAAGCCAATTAAAATGTTAATTTTTTAGGTCAAAGTCTTATTTTGTTATGTTTAAAATGAAATTAGAACAAAGTTTTTATTAATTTAACCCAAATCTGTAGTTAAAGTACACAAAATTCCAGCAAGATTATTTTTATATTGCACACAGTTAATATGATAAGATTTCATGACCCCTAGATCGAGGTGACGTTTGAAGAGATAAGCAAAATGTGAAAACAACCCGTAAAAAAAGAATATATATATATATATATAAGCATTCCCCCTAGTTTGCAGTAAGCTATTTTCAAATTGCATAATTTAATAATATTTTTGTTTGTATTGCAAAATTAATCAAGAGGAAACGAGCTTCTCAGAAAAGTGCTAATTGCCAAATTTCAGGGCATAAACTACAATAAGCTTTTTCTGTATGTTTTTTTTGCAGTCAAAATTCTTAAACTTAAACATAAACAGCCTCCAGCTGGCACTTAGCGCCGATACTTGGGTGCTATAAGTAGTTCTCAATATATATGTATCTAAAATATTTATGTCAATGTGTAAAAATAGAATTGTTGCCATTACAGTTGTAGGGCCACTGGCATACAGTTTGAGTATAACTGAGACTGCTTGCTATGCCCTATGAGTGTTTGCACTGCTTTGTCGGCAGTCAGTACAAACTGTATACGAAAATAAAACGTTTTCGCGTGCTGTGAACCGCTTAACTGCACGATTGGACGAATCATTTCAACAAGACCGTGTGGCCTAATGGATAAGGCGTCGGACTTCGGATCCGAAGATTGCAGGTTCGAGTCCTGTCACGGTCGAAGAGAATTAAATTTTTTTTATTTTTTTTCATTCAATATTTTTGTTTCTGTTTATACTCTGGATTTTGTTTTGGTATTTTACGTGTTATTTATTCTAATTATATATTTTGCTGGAGGCCGCGTGTCGTCTTGGGCATAAATTAATACGGCCACTAAGAAGACGTCTAGCTAACCCACCTATTGCCCTGGTATTTGGATTTTTGCATGCGGCGCAGCCCACATTGACCCAGAACCCGGTGACCAGGTTAAATTAATCGAGACTGACAAGCGAGCGCCACCAGCAACTGATATAAAAGCCTTAGATTTGCCACGGAACTGCATCACATCTTGTGTGGCATCTAACGAGGCACAATATCCAGCATCGATAAAATTCCAGCAGCACAAAATGGCGAAAACCAAACAAACTCAGCTGCAGCCGATGTTCTTGCTGCCTTTACTATTGCTGCTGCTGATGGGATTTTGCAGCGCCAATTCTATACCCAGCTATCAGGTGTGTGGCTCAAAACTGACCGATGCACTTTACATGGTCTGCAAGGGTAACTTCGGCTCCTTTCAGCACCACAAGCGCGGCTCGTGTAAGTATCTCTTACTGTAGCTCTGGCTGCAACTGCGCCCGTAACTGCGGCAACAGTTGCTGCTGTTGCTGCTGCTGCTGCTTATGCTGATTGGCTTTGATTCGAACAGCAATTTGCATTAACGCATTTCTGCATTGCAGTGGATCTCTTTGACTATGTGGAGCAGCAGTACGAGACGAACGATGTGGAGGACAGGGACACGCTCTGGGGATTGCCGCCAAGGAATTCCCTGACGGCCACCAGGCGGCTAATGCGCGGCGTTGTCGATGAATGTTGCCGCAAGCCCTGCACGAGGCAGGAAATGCTACAGTATTGCGGAAACTAAACCTGAATTGCCAAAAGTAACCACTTATGATTCCAACTCCAATTCGTATTCCCTTATATGCACACATATATATGTACTATATGCATGTAGTCCTATTAAAGCAAGTGTACAAAAACTGGTTCGCCTAATATAATATGGAGTAAATAAATAACCTTCAATGAAACCAGTAAAAAAGACTGCTTCTTCAATTTCATGCATATTTTATCTTATCTATCCAGCTAGATGCTCGCTCTGCCTCTGACCAAAAGTCAGTCTACTAGAAAGATTTGGCAAATCTTTTCAATATATATCTAAAGCTATGTCTCACCTATGATACAACTAGTCTGTGCTCTCTAAAGACTCTTGTTAGAGTGAGAGATTATATATTTTCACACTTGTTCGCCCTTTGTATTTGTGCTTCACTGTAGTTTTTAGGCATCCTACTGTGAGTCACACTTGCTATGGCAGCCAGTCAAAAGATGCATCACAACTTTTGGCTAGGCGCCTGCATTGTGTTTGTTGACATTGTTGTTGTTGTTGCAACTAAATGCAACCCACCCCACCCTGCTGGCCCCCTGGCACGCTCCCCACCTGCTCGTGCCCCCTCCCAATTTGTGCGTGTGACTCATCGATCGTTAGAGAATTGTTTAACACTTATATAAAGTTTGCAAAAGTATCTCGCAGCTGCGATTATTAACATACATTGTGAAAGGCCGCTGGAGATGGTCGTTACTGTTGTTGTTGCTGCTGGCAAGTGTTTTGGCCCAAACAGCAGCAAAACTTGATAACTTTTTGTGTGTGCACACGCGAACGCGTTTAAAGTCTGTCTGTCAGCCTGTCTGCGTTCGGCTTGTTTGCTTGGGGCGCTTTAATTTTCACTTGCTTTGTAATTAAATTGTTAAAAAGATACTTTTGTTTTCTGCCTGCCGCCGCTGTTGCACACGTTTTGTCGCACGCATAGACACCGAATAACTGAAAAGCTACTTAGAGTGTGTGGCGCAGTTTAGGCCGGTTTATTTCAACAACAATTGCTAACAACAATGCCAGAGATAATATGTTGTTGTTGCCCGTTTTGGCGGCGACAGCAGCAGCAGCCGCCGCAGCAGCAGCAGCTACAATTTTCAAGTCCACAGCATCTTTGAGATACGCGCTGCTGTTGTTGTTGTTGCTGCTGTTGTTGATGCTGCTGCTACTTATGTGTAGCATTTGGTAATTACAATTAAAAGTCAAGCGGTTTTAATTGTGCGCTGCCTGTGTGCGCGTGTGTATGTGTGTATGTGTGAGATACAAATTGAAAGCAACTGCAACTACAAATCGCCAACAGTTGTCGCTGGCAGAGCTGCTGCTGCTGCTGTTGCTGCTGGCGTCGCAGTTGCCGTTGTCGTTGCGCTGCAGTGCACAAAGTGCGCCTCGCAGCTGCGCTATATCATCCTCTATATATACAGGCACACACACACACAAACATACACTAATGTGCATATAGTGTATATACTATATATACCCTGTATATTAATGTGTTCTCAGCCGTGCACCTGTGCAGCAGCCTCAGATACAAGATATAATGGCAATGACTGCCTATTTTTCTTTCTATGGAGGCTAACCTCATAATGGGGGCTAACTAAGGCCGACATTTGCCCTTTTTTCTATTTTTCCATTTTTTTTTTTTATTAACGGGCAGCCTTTCATCTTTCGCTTTCGCCCAGTTTCTATGAAATTATGCATTTAAATGTGTTAGGGAATCATTTCGTTTAACTTACCCGTCGGCCCCGAAGGCCTTCAGCTCGCGATTCAGCGTGGCCTTAACGTTCTCCTGGGAGTAGAGGCCCATTGGTGAATTGAATTGCTTGTGCACAAGTTTCCGCTGTACGGCAGCCATTTTGCAGTAGTTGTTGCTCTTGTTGCTGTTGTTCAAGTTGTTGCTGCTGTTGCTGTTGCTTTTGCTGTTGCTGTTGCTGCTGTTGCTCGTGTTGTTTGGCTTGTCTTCACTTGAGCTTCTGCTGCTGCTTCTTTTTTCAGCTTGTTTATTCACTTGCTTTTGCTCGATTTTGTTCGCTGCTGCTGCTGCTTCTTCCTGCTATTTGTTGTCCGGCTTGTCTTGGAAAACTTTTAAATTATCGTTGATAAAAAAATATTTGAAAATTTCAGTTTAGCCTCGTGTTTTTGGAGCGCAAGTTTTAAGAGACTAGGCCGCTTAAAGACTTAACAATTGTTGTCGCTATTGTTGTTGTTGTTGTTGTTGCTCTTGTTGTTGTTGCGGCAATTCTAAACAATTTACCCTAGCTTCAATAAATCTGCGTATGCCCGCTGGTAAGTAGCTTAATTTAAATCGTTAATCGTGGTTCGTTGTTCGTTCTGTAATTAAAATGTCAAATGCGAGATGCGTTAGTTAAATAAATAAATTGGCAATGTATTACATGTATGCGGCGGGGTGCACACAATCTGATGAATTACTTATTATTTATGGCTGTCACAGAGCCATACATGTGATTACAAATATGACTACAGCCGTATTCCATTTCCGGCTCATTAAGTTCCGCTTTTTACAATTTTAAATATTCATGTCATCTGCAACACGCACAAGTTGAACAAACCGAATCCCCGTTGACAACTTAATCCCCCATATTACGCATACTTATTTCAGTGCGAACATTTATTGTAACGCCCTCAAGAATTCTGTTTTTATTTTCATATGATTTGATGTGCATAATAAGTAAACTTCTTTAATCCCCTATAAGCCTTTTAATTGTTATTGCTATTTACTTTCATTTAATTCGCATCTTCCCTTTGAGTTGCGTCTCATTTCAGCCTTAATTCTGTTTGGAATTTTTAATATTTATCTCTGGCCAATTCATGCTCACATATTTATTAATTGCAACAAATTGTTGGACAATATATTTGTTTAAAATGTTGCTGAAAATTGCGCATAAAATTTAATTGAGCAAACAAAAAATCAAATTATTCAAATTCATTCAAAAAACAAACTTTGTTTAAACTAAAAATCAAATATGGAAGCCATTCTTCACATGCATATAAAATATATGTATAGAATGTATATGTATGTATTTATGTTCCAAATGTTGCTTATCAACAGCAAATGCTTCAATGTCAGCGCTTCATATTGCAAAAAAAATATATATAGCTATATATAAAACATAAAATTCCAATATAAACTTGTCTATATATCTATATATATACATATATAGCTCTACTGGAAGCCTCATCAATCACATATGTATGTTGCATATATATCAATAATATGTGTATTAATTTCGAATTATTTAAATTGTTGCTGGCGACACGAATTTTTTGTAATTATTATTCTCATTATTTGTGTCGTTTACAGCTGCTGCAAACGAATTACAAAATATTATGAGATTTCGACTGTCGTTTTGTGTTTTTCTGGCTTTTCTGGTTTCTGTCTTCCAATGCCTATCGAGACACTCACTACTGTCACATTTAAAAATGTATCTTAAACTAATTTGAGCAGCACTTTTTGGCTGCTGAAATATTATTATTTATATATGTTAAGTTTTGTTTTTCTTGTTGCTTCTGGGTTAAAAATAGATGCGACAACGTCTTTTATATTGAAATATGCTCAGTTTTTGCTATTCGACAATAATATTTTCCACACGCATACACAAATGCCTGAAATTCTCATTTTCTTAGTTTTAATTCTGCACTGTCTCCCTCTCTTTCTCACCTCCCCACACTCTCTCCCTCCCTCTCTCACTATTTTTCTCGCTCTCTCTCAAGTACATTCCCGCCTTGTGTGTCACCTCAAATAAAATTAGCAACTTGGAGCAAATGGCATTATACAGATTTGCGTCATTTCTGCTGTCTGTCCGGCCGTCTGTCCGGCCGTCGGTCCGGCTGTCCGTCTGCCCATGTGTCAGTTCTTCAGTGCATGTGTCGGCCAGCATGAGGAAATAGCAGACTGTTAACGAACATAATTCCAATTTCAATTCTTGTTGTGCTTATTGCTGCAGCTCAAATTGCTGCAGCTCAAAGGAAAATATATGAAAAAATATATGTTGCAAGAGCGACATGCACAAACGACGCACGAGAGCGTGCTGAACTTTCACATATCGTGTACCGAATGACATATATTGAAGTATCTTTAATATATTTGTGTTGTGTGTGAAATAGTCTGGCTAAATAAAACGTTCGTTTAGGAAGTACATTTTTCATGTTAATGCCGTCATTTAATCTAAATAAGCTGTAAATTTACATGTTTTTCCATGTTAAGCTCATGTTAGAAACTCTGCGTCGTTCTTTCTCTTTCTGTCGTCCTCTGTTATATGGATTTTAAATCAATTTACATTTGCACAGTTAATTCATTATGCACTAGCTAGTCGAAGTAATTAGCTATTGATGGATATTATTTATGTTATTTATTAATTTAATATGAACAATTACTTTCCCTTCAAATATATATTGCATTTTAACTGAAAACAACTGCACTGTAAACACTTTTATTAATGTTAAATTAAGATTTTTTTATTTTTTTACACTCTCCCATCCCTTTCTCTCTGAATGCGAGCCAAATGTAATTAAGTATTGATGGAAATCGTCGGAGACACATTTCTGTTTGTTAATTAAATACAAATATAAATTTATTCACTTGATTGTCCGCCAGACTTTATTAAATAGTTGTTCTCAAGACACTTGAGAAGAGGCAATTTGTCTTTTAAGTTGCAATAAATGTGCAACATTCCCGCTCATATACCTTATGTGCTTATTGAATGTAGGGCAAACAAAAAGTGGCAGCAAAATGCAGTGAAATGCAATAAAATGCTTAGCTCTCTGGCCAAAATACTTGAAATGACGTACGCTTTATGTACGTGTGTGTGCGTGTGTCTATGAGTGTGTCTGTGTGTGTGTGCGTGTGAATTTTATGTGTGTTCGTTGATTCGCAATTTGTGCGTTTTAATTGAGCTGAACGCAGCTGTGGCCTGCAGCTGTTCAAATGCCCAAGTTATGAGCTATTTTTGCATAAGTGTGTGTGCGCCCAAAAGCACGCAACACTTTTCCCAACTTGCGGAAATTAATCAGAATTTAATAAAATATTATGAAAATCTCACAAAGTAGCAGCAGCAGCAGCAGCGGCAGCGGCGTCAGCAGCCACTACAATGCATATGCCGGCCACTTGATGTCCCAATTAAAGTTTTACACTTGCACACACGT